TATGTTGTTTCATGAAATTCTTCTGTGTCTGCCAATTCCTTTCGATACAATTTATAGCCTCCAAAAATCCACTGGAGTGTCTGAGTCATTTCCATCTGGATGGCCATGAGTGGTTACTTGAGTGGTTTTATTTTCAAAACTTGGCACCAGCTATAATCACTACTAAGAGTTTTATATTTTCCCTCTGTCCATATACTAACATACATGGTGATTTTTATTGCAGTAAAGATTGTGTTGTTGTGTACCATCAAGTCAGAACTGACCCATAGCTCACCCACCAGCAGGTTTTCAGAGGCGGTTTAATTGCACTGGAGGAGAATATCCATTCTTCTCCTGCGGAGCAGCTGGTGGATTCGACCCACACACTTTTGTGATTGCAATGTAGCTTTTTGCCACTAGGCCAGCAGAGATTATGGGAATGAGGCCTTGCCAGCACTTTTGGGCAGAGCAACCAATCTTATACAGCCCAGAGAATAAGTCCTTTTGAAGAGGTGGAAAACAGGTCCCAAAATATCATATGATGGAGACTGGACTTTAGAAATTTTCATTTAGGATTTAAGAAAATCCTTAGCTCTTTTGTTCTCTGAGTCAGGCTAGTGCTGCTTGTTCCTCATGTCTCCCTTTGCAAAGTATTTCCGCTAAGAATCCTCTTTCTTGTATTGCGGGAAAAAAACTTGGACTCTCTTATTTAACGAGAAGAACTCTGGTGTAGATTTTTACATTGAAAGCGTATTTATTTTAGAATGAAAAGTTTCTGTGTCTAATTGTTAAATGAAGGGGATTAGTGCTACTAATTTAATTGAAAAGCAAGAAATTATTGGTCTTAAAGCTAAGTAAAATATATAGAAAAAGAAATTTGATTGGTTAAAATAAATTGGAATTATTTTTTGGAATTAATTAGCCTGGAAGCAGGAGTGGCATCCACTTCCGAAATGGCTTGCCTCCGAAACTCTGAACAATGCTCAGGCCTTTAGTTCATAGGGTTTCTGTGAGTCATCTACGACTCGACGGCACCAAACAACAACAACAACAAAATAAATTGAGATGTGTTGTAAAAAATCAAGACTGCAGTTGCAGTAAGTAGTATGCTATGTGCTGTTACTTATTCACTTTCTTTTCTCCCTCCTATTTTTGAGGACTTGTTAGTGTCGTTATAAAGTACCATCAAGTTGACTACGACTCATAGCAACTCAGTGAACAGCAGATCTGAACCTTGCCCTGTCCTGTGCCATCCTTACCATCCCTGACATGATAAAACTCATTGTTATTTACAGTTATTCTGTCAATCCGTCTTGTAGAAGGTCTTCTTTTCTTCCTCTGAGCCTACATTTTCCCCATTTGGATATCTTTTTCCAGAGACTAACCCCTCCTGACAGCTTTCTCAAAGTAAGTGAGACAAAATTTTGCCATCCTTGCCTCTAGGGAGCACCTGGGTTGCACTTTTTTCGTGACAGGTCTGTTTGTTCTCTTGACGATTCATGGGATAGTAAGCATTCTTCTTCAGTGCCACAGATTCAAAGGCATCTCTTCTTCTATTATCCACATTCATAGTCCAGCTTTCAGATGCATAGGAAGTAACTGAAAAGATCATGGGTTAGTTGTACTTTAGTCTTTAAATTGGCATATTTGCTCTTTAGCACTTTGGAAAGGTCCTAGATGGCAGATTATCTTAATGCAACGTGTCATTTGGTATCTGACTTATCA